TCGCACCAGCCGAAAGAGCTTATTAAAACGACTGGAAGTATGTCAGAGCCAAAAACATTTATTATTTTTTAACAGCAACGAACCTGTAATTGACTCAGGAGATTTTTCTAACGAAATAAAAACTTAGATTCGACATATCTTTGCGAAGCGAATAAGAGATAAATTTGTTACTCTGGAGGCTGGAAATGCTTCTGGAAACGAATTGGTTCACAATTTCTGTGGTGCTAGTTGACTGACATGTTTTCTCTCGGTATCGTTCACTTCATGTGATAACCATTCATTAAAATTCTTCATCTTTCATTTGTCCTTCAAGCTGCGAACATTTGTTTCCCAACGAATGCTAACTTCTTCTTTAACCTTTCGACTAAGATTTTTTCGAAATATGCGAGAGCATCCATTATTCGTCCTGGGGTTAAATGAAAGTGAGTTACGAAAAGTATAGTTTCGCCATGACACCAATTGCCTCAGGTGCATTACCACCATGAAGATTAGTTATAAATACCTGGAACAGGTCAACTACCGTCCTTAATGAAAAGGGTCCTACCCAGTAAAGAGGAGGGCACATACGAATACGTCCACCACTGCGGAGAACGTTTGCAAAAAGGGAATGAATGGAACTGCTGTTACCCCAAACAATGAAAGACACATCATCTACGTATTTAAGTGTTTAAATAAATGTAAAAACAAGGTTCCCTTCGGTTAGAGCTAAACCCAATTTCTAGAATTTGTTAAAACAGTTTGTTAGCTTATCGATAGAGGAGCTACAATTTCTATATTCCCAAAAACCAGTTTCCCGTCTAACACAGTTATGAACAATCAATATTTTCGCACACGATTAACCTATGCAGGACCTTTGCTGATCTATTGCCATCCAATATGATCAGCTTATACCCTCTCATGGTGGTAGTGCATTCTACAAAAGTGGGTGTTACATTAGCTTGCACAGAGCGTAGCAATATTTCTAAAAACCGACTTTACTTAAGAGTCCATAAGGCTATTTCATACGAGCGGTGCTCCACTCGAAGCGATCCTATTCGACGCAACGCAGTCGGCTCGGATCAAAGCAGCTCTGAAGAAGGTGAATGCGCCGAGATGTTAGCCGAATAGAGCCCTTATAACAACCAGGTGTAAGCTTATTCATATAGACAATTACTTTCTAATATAACCATAGTGATGCTGAGATAAGAGTAAAACTCGGAGCCTCAGATGGGCTTCGAACCCACGATTACCCTTATCGATTACTCTTACTACGGTGGCTATAATCGCCAGCTTGAAGCCCACTTGAGCATCGGCGTTTTTCTCACATATCAACATCCCCATAGTTGTATTTTACATCGTTCCATGCTATGAAGAAAGAATAGGTAGAAAAGAAAACGTTAAGAGACTGTAATTTCGAATAGTTTTGGCGTAACTGCTGATGGATGTTTAGGACTTTCGCTGCTTACTGCTTCTGCTTACTTACTGCTTAGACTACTTAGGACAGTCGTCAAGACTTATATATCGAACAAAAATATTTCGAATAATCTGAAATCTAATCAGTAACGTTCTGCATGGTTGAGCTGACACGAGATTGGTACAAGAAACGTTTATTCGGCTAACGTTTCGGCGCTTCCTCAATCTTCAAAGCGACGTTGGTCCGAGCTGATGGTACCATTATCGTTGTCGTGATGTCAGTGTTCGTAGTCGCATTGAGTCGAATTCAGATGAGGGAGCACCGCTCGAATGGGGAACTCCACTCAGCAGTGCCCTTAGCACAGGACGGATGTTGATCCATTGCCACTATCCAATATGATCTGCTTTTTGGCAGTCAGTGCATCGTGTAGCAGTCAGAACTTCATTTGCTCAAGCGTGGCGTAGCAGTTATCTTAAAACCCAGTTTTCATTAAACCTCGGTAAAAGCAGTAAATAATTTTCTACACCCTTGAGCCAACACGAGGTTAGTAGAAGAAAGTGTCAGCTCGCTCGTGCAGAAAATTGCTGATTATTGTTACCAACATTTAATGAAAGTCAGTGTTTAAGAATCTGCACTCTGTTCACTCAGAGGCAGTTCCCAACCCAATGCGTTGCTGTGTCACATCGAGTTGCTTCTTCGACGGCATATTCAAGTTTGAACCCATGAAGCAAAACAGTGGAACTTCTTGCTTTGAGAGCATTACCTCAACGAGTCCACAATCGTTCTAGGCAAAATATTAATGGTGTTACAGGAGAAGCTGTGAGATAAAAATGGGGTTCGAAGTGTTCCGCTGCCGCAAGGTCATCAAAAGTGTTATAAGTGTGCAAACCGAGTTTAAATGCTTGACAAACTAGCTATGAGGAAACCTGATATTATACGTAATCTCTAAAAGTAAAGGGATAAAATTCCCTGAGTTGACGAATCCCATAGCGTGCACCATGCATTCTACTTTATTGAGAATCGTTGGAGATGATTGAATGCTTATTCGGCCTTTAAAATGACTCGCGGAGGACTACCGATGTATCGAGCCAGTGTTGCTATTCTCCCAGACAAGTCTGGCAGCAATTTGCCCACGCCGGAGGAATGAAAGGCTTGGTGAGCTTGGGGCGCGGAGTCGATCCCATGCGTATTGAGGGGCTCCTCCAACCGCTGCGCTACACGCAGCAAAGTCTATGTTGTACAAATTATCTGCGTACCACACTGAAACAATGAACGATCGCAAAAATTTGTCTGCTTAAGTATTTGTTTAGGCGCTCCCCTCCAACCCACGTAGGAACGCTCTTACCCGGCTATCTCCATGGTTGCAAAGAGAATTTTCTCGACCGACATTCGACTACATTCAAGACGAAATCCTCAAGCAGCGACTGAGACAACACGCGAAATGTTCGAAGAGCGAAGAGCATTGTGGAATATGAATATGAGGAAAACGAATCAAACGCAAAAAGTGCTGGGTTCCGTACAACAGATGTAATAATGGATCACGTAAAATAATAACAAAAATTATAAGTATCAGCTTGACAACCGGGAGACGTGGAGAGCAGTGACTAATGGGGGTGGTGTTGGAAGACTCCTAAACAGACCAACCAACCCATCTCATCATCTGAGGACGGCGATTTTCTACTGGACTTGTCTGTAGGAAGCTCCTTTCATCCACAAAAGCGAACCTGTTGTAAAGACCAGGAAATGCTTTGAAAAGTTCATCTCAGAAATTCCAAGGAGAGCCATATTCGACTAAAATTCAACGGCATTCATGGTGAAGACGAAGCTCAATTTGCGGCGAACTTACACTTGAAAGTTGAAAAACTTCCAGAAATCTTTGTGGATAGCAGATAGAACGAACTAAATAAATGAAATACAGGGATCCACAAAATATGTTAAGAAGGATCCTATTAAAAATATTGACATCCTAGACTGAATAAGAAATTATAACTACTGGTAATACGGAACCTGTGGCTTAATTCGACAGCGCTAGTTTTTTTACTTTGCATACTCCAAATTGGCGCGGTGAATAAAGTGCTTTAGTCAGAAGTTTAAGCGAGTAAGAATTAAGAATTAAGAAAGAAAGAATTAAGAAAAACACAGTAAGAATTAAAGTTCAGAGGGAGTAGAAATGCAAAAATTTTCGTACCAATGCAGCATATACGTTGCAAAACAGATCATAAGCGTACAACCTGCATGCTAGAAACTAAATTTGGTCGGATCGGAGATTTGGTCGAATCGAGGACGATCGGTTTTTTTAGATGAATGGGACGAAAAAAATAAGTAGAAATATAAAAGAAAATGCCTTACATGAGGTCAAACAGTCTTCTAAGTTTTCACTGATGAGCCAAATCAGTAGAAAAACGACCTCCCGTTCTTTTCCTCAGAGACACTTGTCCTTGCCTTGTCTGAGAGTTCAGTAGACAACAACGCGTTTAGCAAGCGACTCGTTGAATTATCGGACCACGTTACGACGGCGCAGTTCTGGGTCAAAAGTGAGTGGTGGTGCCATTTTATCATGGCGGACCTTTTAATTTTTTATGCAGAGGAACAATACTCTTTTTAATTGTCAATCTGTTTCAAATGAGGGGGCTCTGGGCGTATAGATGGAGAATCGAGGTTCGTGTCCCTTCGACCATACACTGGTCCTGTGTAGTAGGTGTGTTCAAGGTATACTCATGGGTGTTCGGTGTATATTTCGGTTCACCAGCAGCACGGTGTAGGTTTGATTTTATTCCAGGACCCCAAAGCTTTCGATTCCTCCAGGATTTAGAAGATGGTACCAGAAATTTCTAGGACTTAAGTGGGAACTCTCTAGCACGGTTGTCCAACGACTCCAGAGATATCGATTCGATCAGTACTCAACGACATTAATGACGAAAACGAAAATTTTAAAGTAGCAGCCGAAGTCACGAGTAAAACGTTTGGAGAATTTCGGGATGATGGATGCAAAGAAGTGAATTGAGTGCAAGAAGTTCTGGGATTCGCACAGTCGATTCGTAGACAAGTTATACAAAGTAGGGTAAATTAAGAATATGTTTCGTAGATTACTGAAGATTTGTTGCACACGTAACTTTAAAAGTGTAACCATTCGAGGTGAAAGATGAAAAATTTTACATCAAAAACGCGATAATCTTAAGGTCTGTCGACACCCCAGCATCACTGGGTCCCGTTAGCGCGCTATCTAGGAGACTTGCTTGCTACCCGGCCGAGACATTTGCTTATTTCGTCCGTATTTCACCAACTCATTACTCATCTTTGTGTGGCTTAACAATTGAATTTGTGCTTTTTTTGATGGTCATTGCTTAGCTGTCTTGAAGATTGATGTTACCTGGGTTCAAAGAATTGCCAGCGATCTCCCCAGGATTGTTACGTATACCACTCTCAGAACTCGTATGATAACAACTAAAGTGAAAGTGTGGATGTTTTATTTGGGCATCGTAGCAAAATAACTCATATTGTAAGGAGAATTTTACTAGTTTGTTGCTTGCCAAGTTATTCTCATCATACACTCTCAGTAACTATCAAAATAATGCATTATATTTGACGTGAAGCAACTGCGACTACTCTATTTTTTCGTGCGTGACCGATGCAGAATTTTCTCATCTGCAGAGTTCTTCATTGACTTCACTTGATCGATGTTCGAAGCTGAAGACCTCCTCACAGACCTCGCTTCGTCAGCCTTCATATCTGGTAAATTTCTCAGAGACTTTGGCTCATTAGCAATGCTTTTGCTTCCATCCGTTTGTGACTTCCTCGATTTCGTCTTTCGTTGAACACCCTGCTTTGTTCCTGTAGGTATTGAACTGGGTGCATTATTCAAACCCACGCTTCTCTCCATATTTTGAAGTTCTTTCATCGTTTTCTTCTTCAAAATTGCAAGTTTGACTTTCTTTTGGTCGAATATTTTCTGTTGGATAACAGGAATATTTACGCAAACGTTAGGAGCCCAATCAAGCATCAGTGGTCTGAAAAAGTTTAATGTGCTTGATAAGTTGATAAGATAAGATAAGACTCTATAAAGTTTTAACTCTATATAGTTATGTGCTTACGGACAGTAGTTAGCATTTTGTTAGCCTACTGTTACAATAACATACATTTAGACAAAAGAGACTTATTAACTGAGCTGCAAAAGGAAATTGCAATAGATAACAATCACTGGTACAGCCAAATCTTTCATAGTGTGGATCAGAGCTGCCAGCTGACACCTACCCCTTTAAATGGCTGATGATGCCGTCTCTAGCAATCGTTCTGGCCAAATGGTGGTCGAAATTCTCACCGGAAGTTCGTACAACCTCTTGCAGCATGTGTATGTGTAGATTCTCTGTTAAGCGTTGACCACCTTAAATGAAACATCACATACTAAACTTCAAGCATATTCTCCGGAAATCTGGAGCTGTCGCTCGATTCAACCCCGATTTCAGGAAATCTTTGTTTTTGTAAAGCGTTGTAAACCACGAGTGCTGTATGTGTGGATATAAATAACTAAATAATAATTAATATGAAATATAAATAAACGTGGCAAAACAAGGTCCACTATAGACAAAATAGAAGAGGTGTCAGCTTGTAAGGCGAATAATTTGTCTCTACCTTCCTTCCACAATGCCGCCTTTGCTGCTTGTACTTCGGCCTCACTGCTCATTCTGTACCATGGCAGACAACCAGGGCTTAATCTAAAAAGCACTTGAATTATTTTCTCTTCCACCACCATGGTGGTAGTTGTGAAAGTTAGACCAGCCGAACAAAGGAGAGCTTGGAAACGACAGTACCATAACAGCGGCCAACACTAAGAAATACCATAGTACGATCGTCAATTGAGGCTCAACGATCTAATGGCGTACACTGAGATGACTTGGAATTTTCGTGACAATGTATTGAAGGGAACAGATAGCAAATATAGCAAATATGGGTGTGAATGTAGAAACATGGACGAAAGTTGGTGCGCTCTAAAGTTCAATAAATAGTTGTGTTGTCAAAATTTTCTGATCTTTAGGGGAAATCGTTTAAGAGTGTAGGAATATTGGTCGTCACATACCGGCATTTGGTGCTCGTAGGGATCAATACGGTACTTTGAAGGTACAGGAGTTTTCGTGCAAGCCGTATGGCTTTCCTAACTGCAAGATGGATATTATTATAGTCTCTTCATAGAGCTGCAACTCTTAAGGAAGTGCCATCGTCGTCAGATGAGTCGCTGCAAATGGTGCCACAGAATAACCAGCCTGGCACGTTTTTTTTACTCCAGTGTTAGCACATAGCCAGCGATTTGAATGTGCAATGTCCCTTTTTAGTTCAGTGAGCCGTAGAACTTTGTGTCGTACTATGTGTATCCATTCGATAAAATAAATAAAAAGCTGTCGGCGTTGATCATTCTTTGAGGGTGCGCCATGCATTCGACTTCATTAAGCATCGTTTGGAGATGATTGAATGCATATCTGGCCTTTACAATGACTCGCGGTGGCCTACCGATGTATCGGGCCAGTGCTGCTATCCTTCCAGACAAGTCTGGTACCAATTTACCGAACCCAGAGGGATGGAAGGCTTGGTGGGCCATGGGCACCGGGATCGATTCCACGTGTGTGTTGCAGGACGCCTCCAACCACTGCGCCACACGCGCCCAATATATTCATTCGATAACTAGTCGAAAGCAAATCAATGTGTGGGAGGTCAGTTTAGAAAGGCCTTTTCTCGAATAATTTCATTGACCGGTTGATTAGTTTTTGATCGTTATTTTACTTTTACTTACTATGACGGATTGTAGCTACTCTATGTCGTGTACGTGTGCAAGAAATACCAAAATGGACATATCATAAGTTGACGAACCCTTCTCAAACAGGCGTCGCTCCAACCTAGAGCGCCGTCCTTGTATGTTAGATTGCTAATATTCCTCTTTAGAAAGTAGTGAATATAACCGCTTGTAAACAGCGCAATTTGGAATCAGCCAGTGTTAGCTTTCGAAAAGCGCTGTTGCGCAATGGTTAGAGGTGCTTTGCAATACACACGGGTTCCTTAATTTTAATTTGCGGCTCTGACTTCCTATCTCTATACTATCGGCAAATTAGTACCTGACCTTTCTAAAACGATAAAACTTTGGCGGAACACACCAGCTACAGCATTTTCTCCTCTACCCAACGATATATAGTATAATCATCATTGACGAGTTTACTTTTTTCACTCGCGTATCATAGGTCAACGCAATGATCAACGCAGAGCGCTTTAATAGTTAACCCCCACCCCCTTAACTCATTCTCACTTACGTTTGCCTTCACCCAATAAATATAATTCTTTTACTACGGAATCAGCGGTGAATGCAAACTTATTTCAGTGGATAATCTTCGGTAAAAGCTATGGGTCATGTGCTTACAGATCAGCGATCATGTAGAACCACGATTCGGCATCTCCTCGTTGATGAGCAGCCGACCTCTTGTGCGCATCCAAACTCCAGTACGGGAGAGTGAAAACGTCCGGCGTACCATATCTGTAGAACAGTACGATAGTATTTGAATAGGAGAATGTTTTACGACTTTTGGGTTCTAACGTTTGTCAGTTTTTTACATAATGGACTATACGCATTGACTTCAATGGATGCGATTTAAACATAATGGTCACTATCTACTTCGAGCCATCACATTCCTTTTCATAGTGAGTTTCATTAAATTAGATAAAAACTATTATAATCCACAAATTTTTGCCTAAAAGGGATAAAGGTGCTCTCTGGAGTTCACTAAAGAAATTTTTGATGCTTTTCTTTGTTAATGGTCGTATTTTGAACACTAGAACGATTGAGCAGTTGAGATTTCTTGAAACCAGATAAGTTGGTGTCCACCAAGGCACCACTGATGTCTGCGAAAGTCCCATTTGCATTTGAAATTTTAAAATTCAAAAAGTTATTTTTGATCTATCGAAAATACTGTAATTAGTTTCTAGGAAGCCAGTATGGCCCGCTGTGTGTTCATTGCGTGAATGTCTTTCTTGTTCCTTTGGAGAGGGAAGACAACAATAGGGAAAGCCGAGTTGTTAGCAGAACCGTTAAGTATCCATTACACGACGAAATACTGGTGAAATGGCACCGCATCATTACCTAATCTTCTTCCCTTGCTTGACCGCATCGCCGTAGTCGATCAAATAAATCCTGCCTGTCGCTGGTCCTGCTCCGATGCAGATATTTGTTAACTTTACGTCACGGTGAATGTATTTAAGGGAATGAAGAAACTAAAAAAGACCATACGTTAGAAAAATGAACAAATTGCAAATTACTTGCGAATTAATGGTTAGCATAGAGAAGAAAATCTGACCCCCAATGCAGACATGGCTTCCATTGCAATATAGAAGACTAGAGCAGGTTTAAACACTTTTATTTGTTCTCGCAATTTTTCCAGATTCCGGTCTAATAAATTCATAACTGAAATTCGAGCAACGTTTTCTAACTTGTTTTGAAGAAAAAGTAATTCGCATCAGATTGACAATTTGACTTCGTCAATAGAAATATAAGCTTTTGGTTACCGATGAATGGAAGATCGGCCACTCGACCGCTGTCTAACACAATGGGAGCAAAAGGACATTTGCATTTTCGCAAGTCGTTGAGTACCCGTAGTTCACGCTACAAAACGTTATATAAAGATTATAGAAAATTTAAAACGTAGCAAAACATTGGAATAGGTAATTCGCTTGTGGTACGCTGATTCGCTAATTCGTACATTCGCTGGTAAACCTGACGGAAACAGAAGTCTGTAGCGTATCGAGTGGCTTCGACATGCGTACGTATTTCAGCCAACTGAGGCCTTCACCAGTCTTGACTTTTTATCAGTATTTGACACAGATGATTTTCATAGAACGAGATCGACTTCATAATCCGATTGTGCGATGGCAGCCATACTAGTGGTACGGGCGCATGTGGCGCAGTGGTTGGAGGCGCCACTGAGACACACAAGTGGAATCGATCCCTGCGCTCATAGGCCACCAAGCCCTCTATCCCTCCGGGGTCAACAAATTGGTACCAGATTTGTCTGCAAGGATAGGAGCACTTGCTCGATACATCGATGGACCACTGCGAGTCATTGTAAAGGCCAGACATGCATTCAATCACCTCCAACGATACTTAACGAAGTGGAATGCATGGCGCATCCTTCAGGAATTGATCAACGCAAAGAGTTTTAACCTCTTTTTTACTGGTGGTACAGGCTCACTGGTTCTTTGGCTTATGAAATCGTTTTCAAAAGTATTTAAATCCATTTCAGAACACCAGAGCGAAATATAGCGATGCGAAGTATGAAATTTATTACCTTCATCCGTAAAGTAATGTTAGCACTGTTAGGCCTGATGCCGATCTTCATCGCATAAAGCGTTCCTTTTTCCTGCGTTTCATTACTGGAAGGTGCAATATTTGGCGAATTTAGACATTTTAAGATTATTGGCGTTATTCTACCACGGCTACCTCAAGCACCATAAAAGCAAATTTTGAAAAATAAAAGAATAAAAGCGGGGCGGATAGCACAGTGATAGGGATGTCCGTCATCACGAGTATAGTGCTAGTTCGATTCCACTCCTGGCCAACCAAGCATCTCATCCTTCCGTGGTCAGGAAATGGTGCCGGACTTGTCATGGAAAAAATCACTGTGCAATCCATTTGGTAAAACTCTAGCCCGGCTATCTCAGGACTCCTGGGAGAATCGATTCGACCAGCATTCTACGACATTCAAGATGAAATAGAAATCCTCAAGCAGCAACCGAAGCCAAACGTAGAAGTTGGAAGGTGTTCGTGGTTAATGGATGCGAGGAAACGAAGTGAAGACAGATCAAATAAGATTTAAAAAGAGAATAAAAACTAAAAGCAAGAGTAAGGATGTTCAATCAAATTTGCTACCATTACACTTCGACTTCCCCTGTATCTAATCACTTCTGGATTTGTCACGTCAAATAATGGTGACTACCACTATTTGATGCGGATATGAAGAGTAAAGCAGCAAAGCTAAATTTGCTGCACAACAGAATAGGTTTAAAGGTAAGACTGAAATCACCACGAACAAGCCTTTATCATCCAGCAATGGAAAGCCACGAAGGAAGATGCAAAATGTGTGCATTGTATTTTAACCAATTCGCAACAGCGGGAACTTCGCAGGGTCGGCCCACAGAAGCAAAGCTCTATTTGAGAGTGATCGCAGTGCTCATCGAAATGAATGCACACGGTCCGCAGAGTTCACCAGTCCACGTGTTGAAATGGTTATAGATGGTCGCACAAGATGCACTCGCTAACATTCACATGTGCTTCTTCCTTGCCAACTTGTGCTAAACCTCTCTTACGAGAACATTTAACGTATATGAAAAGGTGTCCTCGATAGATGTTGGTTGCAGCTTGTTTAAAAATTGTTGCTATCAAATGAAAGTAAATTGTTCTCTTGCTGTTCACAATCTAAAGGTACGTGTTTCGAGTTTTCAGTGCGTTTTTACTAGGGGACAAAGAATTACTTTGCGCAGACTTGTCTTGAGATGAGATACAGTGCTGTGTACCTTCCCTCGTTGTATTTGAGTTGCACCTCATATCGATTGAAATGTCGGTCTTCCTCGTCTAAGCTGAAACAGACAGAGAACTACTACATTTGCCATGTCAATGAGCTTCACCTCAGTAATATCCTTAAGCGTCAACCAATGAGGCGAACAAACGAATTCCAGTTTATCACTTGTCGTCCGTGATGATGAGATCTCCAGTCTGTAGATCGCTTTTGTCTCTGATAAACATGTCCATTAGTGCTGCTTCTTCTCTCTAAACGAGTTATATTCTTGAGTTTTTGATGGATTTCAGTAGCGGAAAGCGCCAATTGCTTAAATACTGCGACCCTATCTTCTGATTTATTTTGTCACATCATGATAAGCTTCTAAAGTTAATCTCAAAGCCTGCACCGTTTATCCTGGTTACTTGGGCAGGCATTCTTCTGTGAAACATGCGCAACTCCGTAAGATAAAGCGATCACTGAATCATGCATGCAGTTATCTGCATTGTGTCGATATCCGGTACGTGGCAATTTATTGCTATACAACAATAACCCTTTTATACGTCGAATGTATACAAAATAATAAAGCCGTTGTCTCATCCAACCCGTACATACGGTCACTAGTTCGATCCACGTCAGAGGCTAACCAAGTCCTCTTTTTCTTTTGCGTGGGGAAAATTGGAACTAGAGACGTCTATGAGAATAAAAGCACTGGCTTTATTTATCAGCAGACTAATTGTGCATTCAACCTATGATGACGAATGGAGTGCAGTGCATAGCGTACTCCTAACTGATTGGTCAACGCCGTTCGCTTTATTCTCCGTTTAACCCTTTTTGAGTACAGCTATTGGATTATTCATTGTCTCAATGAAAACACACGCGTACATAAAATACAACGGACATTTCCACATATTTTCCCACTATATCCACAACAAATGGCGTTTATAGTGATGTGATTAGAGGTGCCCTGCAATACACATAAGTTCGATACCGTGCTCCAGACTCACCAGGTCTTACATCCGAGCTTGGTGAATTGGTACTAGACTTGTCTAGGAGAATTACAACTGGTTCGATACATCAGTAGGTCACCGCGTGTCATTGTGTTGGTCTGATATGCATTCAATCACACCTCTAACGATGTTTGATAAAGTCGAATGCACGGCACCTCTCTCAGTGATTGGTCAACTCCGAGAGCATTATCATTCTTTATCCTTTCATCCACAACACGTGTGCCTCACCATTGCTCATCGATGCTTAGATTTGAATTTTAATTATTTTATTTTATAATTATTATAATTATATTAAATTATAATAATTAGAATAATAACTATAATTATAATTATTATAATTATATTATATTATAATTATTTGTTTTATTGATTATTTTTTTATTTTTTCTTAGATTTTTTTTTAAATTTTGAACTTCTTGAAAAAAGTTGCTACTATTCAATCGATACTCATTGATATTGCAGTTTTAGCAAGAAATTTCACCTCAATAGCCATTTTTCCATCTGCTCCAAACAAGTCAGGTCGTTCCTCCCTGAGAATCTCAACATTATACCACTTTGGCTGGTGTCGCGATTTCACTAGTGCTCCTGGCATTACCTGCAATTCGTTTGCCATTCGTATTCTGCTAACGTAGCGGTATAGAAGCTCTCGAACATGCCATGGGTAAAACAGTTCGTTTCGAATAACCAGCGATGTTAACTCCTATTTAGCGTCGAACAAATTTCGCTCCGATTAAAAGACGGTGTGTTAACAGTGGAATATCGTTAACAGGAAATAGAATCGCTTGTTTTCCGGTTCGGTGGTAGTGTGATATCATCTAATTATAAATTCCAAAATTTCAGAAGTAAAGCGCAAGGAGGAGTGCGTTGTGTTCACAAAAGATCTCGCGCCATATCTTGGGCCGATTTTTTCTGACCTGAGCCGAGCATATTCATAGCCCATGTGAAACCCTGTGCAGCTAGTCCCCACGGAATGACTGGAAGGCTCACGAAGAAGAAAGCGGTAAATGATTTAAAGGAGTTCTTTATTATGGGAATGAAGCTTGACGTACTAAATTCTATTCACTGGGATTACGAAACCGATTGCATAACAATTTGAGCTTTCCAGGCTCTGAAGGAGACAGAACCTCCGAAACATCAGATGTTGTGAATTAGTAAATGCTCCAGTAGCAAACTTATGTTTGATCGTCAAGAAAACTGTGGATTATTGGTATGTTTTGCTGCCGCACCTTCTACCTAGAAAAGGACAAAGTTAAGCCAATTTAGCGTGGAGCAAGATCGACCACTTCTACCGGGCCACTTCCACTATTTTAAAGAAAAAGTACAGGTTTCTTCGCTGCCACGGGTAACACTTCTGTCTTCTTTTCTTTTGTAATTACAGAATCAGATCCACTATCGGAGCCAGAAGTCTGAAATAGGATAAACTCTACTCCATTCAAAAATTTTGCAACATTCTTTGACAGAGTCCGATTTTCAACATACGAACAACCGATTTCACCTGCTCGCTTTCTCCTCCTGTTGAACTTGAAAAGCCTTTGGATTTGTCTCTCTTTTTCTGAAACTTACTGGCCTTTAGGTTTTCGTGGTTGTCACGGCCCAAAATTGGTAAAAACAAATAAGTTCACGGTAATCGTGCGATCAGTGATTTCGCTGATGTTTGACATTACTTACTCGGATACTTGTACAACCCATCTCCAGTAGTTGTGAGAATCCCAGCACAGCTTCCATTTTTTCGGAGTTTTACTGGCTTACCCACTGTGGTTCACTGAGATCCCAAGGTCGACCTAGCCAAAGTCTGCTCGAGGTCATCACTACCAAAGGCAGTCACCGCTGTTGTGGATTAGAGGGAAATTTGCCACCATGCGACTACTTCGCATCATGACGGCGGTAGATCTGGTATTAGTTTACCCTTATCTGGGCTTCCTAATGGAAACGCCGGACTCTTCATCATGCGAAATCCTGATGGGTAAATAACTCCTCTCGCCGTACATCGCAGCCCGACACTCGAGGACGCTTTCCACGAAGAAGCGGTAGAACGGTGACAAGGATGTTTGAGAATAAGAAGTATTAAGTCACACTGGAGTTGCATGCAGGTACGATCCAGTTTCCTTGCGAAAGCTTATGAACGCATGAAGTTCTGACGAAGCTCTCGTTAAATTTCAAGAATATCACTAACTAAAAGGATAAAAGGATAAAGCTCTCGGCGTTGATCAATCTTTGAGGGATGCGCCATGCATTCGACTTCATTAAGTGTCGTTGGTGGTGAGTGAATGCATATCTGGACTTTATAATGACTCGCGCTGGCCTACCGAGTATCAAGCCAGTGCTACTATCCTCCCCGTTAAGTGTGGTACCACTTTGCCGACCCCGGAGAAACGGAAGGCGTGGTGGGCCATGCGCGCAGGGATCAATTCCACGTGTGTGCCGCAGTGGCGCCTCCCACCACTGCGCCACACGCGCTCTACCACTAACTAATCGGAATAAATTACTTTAAGTTTGCATGAAAGTGTGAGGTTTTCGCATAAGCAATTAATTCGAATTTTCATTATCGGTGGGTTCTGGCTTTTAATAGCAGCTATAAGCACTGTTTAATCTAAGATCAGCGTTGCAAATCTAACTAAACACATATTAAAGCAAAAACCTAGAAGAAACGAGCTCATACAAAATGGACGCTTTTTAGACAGTCAATCTCTAAATGATTAGCTGAAAAGAATGGCTGACGACTAAACAGGTCGCTTTTTACCGCAAAATTATATTTTCGCTTAAACGTGCCTCAAAATTCTAGAAAACGTGAACATTCCGTGGTAGAAGGCACTTATTCCATGAAATCGGCTGGTACACTGTGAACCAATGCTGGCTTAGAAATTTGGAGGTTTACAGTGAAGTTGAGAAAATGTTTGATTAATTGGCCAAAGATTGATACGAATTTTCGATGTAAACTCAGTTAAGTCAAGCATTGCCTAATGTGTCTTGTTGAGGAAGGAAATTGGATGATCAACGCTTAGGCTTATTGGAAGTCGCTTAAAAGTTCAAAAATGAACTGACCTTGGGCGTTAGATGAAATGTAATTTTTAGACGTAACGGATAAAAGAGAGATCGAACATGAACTTACACGAAGTTGGTAACAAGTCATTACTGCGGCTTACAATTCAGAAATAAATTTTGCGCCGTCTTCCAGTCTAGTGAATTTTACACCCATGAAAACTTACTAGTCGAAAGAAATAGCTGCTCGAGACATATGAAATGGTGGTGGTGCCGACATGTTGACCACAACAAAAATTTTATGCCAACCTTGTGAAGCCTATCGAGAGGAAAAAGGGTTAATGAACAATAAAATTTAGAAGAAACAAATAAGACGTGTAGGCAGGTAGTGGGATCAGTTTTCTCTCGTTTAAGAATTTTTTTCCCAAACACTATAAATGGTATGGGATTGAAATTAATGCGTCACGACAGTATTGATGTATAACAGCATTAGAGTGCAAGCATGAGAGTTGAGCTCTACCTAAGCATAACTCGCTAGAGAAGAATTTAACTGAAAATATGAAAGACGAACCGCCATTGTTGATGTGCTTTCATCCGTTTGTGGCTGAAAATGAAACTGTCTCATCCACAACTCGCATATCTGATAGGGTAGCGCATTGCACATAAACAATGTGCTATCACATTATTAATCTTCTACTGTCCGATATTATACCTTTTTCTATTTTCTTCTACTATAATTTCGCGCCCTTTCCGGTGGTTAACGCGCTCACCACTACACCATGCAGGTCTTTCGTCTTGCCTGACTCTCAGCCGTGTTTTATAGGTGCTATTAATAATAACTCCTCAGTGGAATTGATCTGGAAAGAGCAAATTGGCATTTAACTCAGTTAAGCGGAAGCTGAAGCATAAATCACGAAAGAAGGAAAGGAATGATCAGTATGATGGTGGACGATGTGTTGGTGGACGCGTTGCCCCCGGAAAGAGCAATAACGTGTTCGATCCTTTTACCGCAGGTACCTGCTGTCCACAGTTTTGCAAATATCTCAACATTATTGTGGTTATAGCTCACATCATACCCTGCCATGAAAAAAGGATATGCAGCAAATAAAAAGTAATACCGGTGCTATCATTCGCCACTGTCCTGGAAGAAATAGTCGCATGATGGTATGGCTTTTCCCTGTGCACTGTGCTCGGCGACTACTCATGGCCAAACCTGGGGACGTCATGCCATTACGTATTCGAAATTCGAACAAGAAACCTTTCTATATCAAAAATAAACTAGTTATGCGAAAAATACTCTTGCCTTGATGATTCTTCATGAAGACTAATAACCTTCGACTATTCACATAATAATTCTTAAAAAACACAGCCATGTCAGAGGGGGAATTGTCATCATCATTGTTAATTTTAGTTCCAAAACTATTATATTGCTGTACTAGCTTAATGATCCAAGGGAATTTTAAATATTTGTGAAAAGGTCTAAAAGACGTTGGTTTTTAGAAATATTCACGCGCCGTCTGCCAGCTATTATATAACACCGAACACTGCTAAGTAGATCAGCAGGTTATTGGTCAGCAGGCCATTGGATTGCAGCAGATCAACAACCCCTCTACACAAAAGGTCACCGCCGAGTGAGGATACTTCATTCGAGCGATGCTCCACCCGAACGAATTTGATTCGATGCAGTAATAAAGACCCACACCGCAAGGACGAACCACTCTGGGCAATCGACACGAATCACTCCGGCTCTGAGAAAGACGAAGTCGTCGAAACTAGCCGAATGAAACTTATCACTACTTCATGCTAGCCTAATAGTTCAACAAATTGTTGCTGCACTGTTGAGGTTAAACGAAGTTGTTACAAAAATACTTCATTGGAGCTAAAGTTTACTTATCTCGGTGTTCGTCAAAATCGCAGTGATTCGAATAGGATGTCCAGTTGCAGTCAGGTTTAGTTTTCTTCTCTTCTAAAGCAACTTGTTTATGATTAGGAAAGTGTGAATCGCTTTTCTTAGTGGGAAAATTGGAGACTTTAGCAATGGTCCAGGTTGTTACCAGTTATTCTTTGCGATGTTTGAGGCTTCGTAGTTGCATCGACTAGAATTGAGTGGACGAAAGTCTGAGCGAATGAAGATTACTTCATTCTTCGTTATCCACTTTCACACCGAATCACCAACAGCAACCGTTCCAAGCACTTGACAACATGACATTACCACTGAACAGGGTTTTCTCTATTATTTTGCTGAGGTGTTGTTTTTACTTTACGTCCTAATTTTTTTCACTTGAAATCTAACTCCTCAAGAGACAAAAATACGACATCAGAACTTAAGGTTGTGAGAACAACGTGAAGGTGAATAAAATGAGGCTACTTATGCTTGGAATGGGTAGGAACGGCCATAAACGTTCACTGTGACACGAGATATCACTATTCCTGTTGGATAAAGCTAGGCATCGTTCACTTCGCCCATGTACCTTCTACGACGAACTTTGTAAGTAAATTGGCTACTAGTGGTTAGCCGAAAAATCGTATATGTTAAGCAATGTACAGTTAACATGAAAAAATTAAGTAATATGAGAAGATGGAGATATTCTGTACAAGGCAGAGAACAGACTACGTTTTTACAACAGACCCATCCGTTTTAATTCCCCTAGATTCTGAAGCAGACAAAAACTCTAGAAGGACTTTTTTGAATTAACAACTTTGTGTTTGCTCGAGAAGAGCAGAGTAAATTATTGATCAACTCATAAGTTAATACGAAGTCAGTTCTTCGCTGTATCTCTCGGTAGGCACCTATGCCCACACACTTTTGTGAAGTGGAATTTTTACACACAGGGTCCACGAGTCGACGACATTCAAGAGCCAGTATTTTATTGTGGGCTAAAATCTATGGAAATATTGAAATAAATCTCTCAACACCCTCACAACTAGGCGTCGTAGACTATCCAGAAATTTTTTTTTCTTCCATGTGTCGTGAATGAGAATGACTGTGTTTACATTTAATAGCAGGTTCTCATTACGACAATTAGTTGTCAGAATCATAGCGTCTTTATTCCTTCTCTTAACGTGAATCAATGTTTATCCAGTTTGAAATTGGAGCGAACATCAAACAAATGACTGAACTCGAGGAATGAAATCTCATCTTCAAGGCTAAGGCGATCTTCTCTGTGCGATGATTTTCATCCCACTATCAAAGTAGTCCCTATGTTCACCGGTGTAGGCGACCGTTTCTGAATGACTGCGAATGAGATATGTTCAGCTTTGTTTAGAATCTATCACGAGGCTGCTTGAAAGTCCCACCAACGAACACACGGCATCAAACTCAATGTCGAATTCATTTCATGGTGAAAGCTGTCCACAGTACTTTGCAGCACTCGAGATATCCATTTATGCTTGGACCACATTTTGATGGTTCCGCCATTTGATTTCCTGGCTACTACATTTTTATTATAATGATAAGATTTGCATGCAAGCAGACCGTTTCATACTCGTCTTCTATCGAATTAACAAAGCTTCTGTATGAAAAATAAGATTATTTGCAATACCTTGCAAAAAGTAATACTGTCAATTTGCAAGAGTGAAGCTCTTGTCAATTAAAGCAAATATTGATATTTGGTGGAAACAACACAAAGAACTTCAAAAAGAGCATGAAGGGAGCATCCATTGAAGGTCTACTTGCATGCCACAGAATTATAACAAGCTCTGCGAATGAAACCGTCAAATTTGGAAATCCCGAAAAAGCTGGTGATCCAGTGAGTCACTAGCGTCAACTTCGCTTGGAACCACCTTATCTGATTTCTTTATGCTTCTTTCATTGAATCGTATCTATTAAAATTCACCACTTAATTTCTTCTCCAGTGATTTGTTCTACTTCTTTTCCATTTTAAACCAAGTCTTCATCACTTCCTTTGCCAATAAAAGAATTTATTCCACAGTATGATTTCTTTTATCTGTTGAATGTTTAGTTGTGAAGAGAAAACTTTCCTTTCTCTGTGCAAAAAACCAGAAAAGTGGTCAACAACGTTGCGTAACCGAAGGAAATGAGAAGTTGGAAATTCCGCATAGCACGAGCACAGTTGTTTCACGTTGTCAAGAGGTATATCCCTACTGCGGCCTTTATGACGTTTTGTACCTCTAAGGATTCGAGCATTCTTCTTGCTCATTTTTCGTCATAACACGAGCTGTGGGTTTTTTACTTAAGAATCCCTACCTGGACACCCGAAACACGAAGACGCGAGGCTTTCTGGTCCAGCTTATTTGATAAAATTTGAAGTGGTGAAAGTATCGACTGTTTCATCAAATTAACTAATTGGCACACGTCATGCATTCAATTAATGCTGCACCTGTCTCTTCTTTTTACGCTCTTTGTGATGCTTTTCTTCACCATGTCGGCTGCAGTCCTCTTCACTCTTAGCTGGAAATCCACATTGAAATGGCGAACCTACACTGATTTCCAGTGAAGCCGCCGCTGAACAAACTACGGCCGAACATCACTGTCCATGCACATTCTCCGCGTCCTATTTTTGCTGCGTTGGACTCTTTCAATAACGATTGATTGAGCATGTAAGTGGGGAAATGGTCGCTTCTTCAAAAAAAGGCACGAGTTCAAATAATTTGTCCCTTTATCTTTTAATATCTCTTCACAGCTAACAATGTTCGAGAAAAAATGTGTGAATTGTGATGGATCCATCTGCCTTACACTATAGTACACGTTTTTCGCTCAGCTTAATCTTTGGCACAGTTTAACTTGCTTAGCAAGCTATGAACATTAGATTCTTAGGAAGGCGAACATGATGAACATGCTCGTTCTACACCCTCTGCCTCTTTCGCAACTGAACAACCGAAATTCCCTTTGGAATAAAATTTCAGATGCTAATACTATTCATTTATGACAACAATATATGTGAAATGGACACAATGTCGGAAAAGGTGTGAGTACATGGATTGTAAAACAGGTGATGAGAGGAGCTAGTCTGTTAAGCCATGACTGACTGAGCTTGAATCTATGAAGATCTGCGTGGGAAACTCAATCCATAATTTCTGGAAAACAACAGTGGAAATTGAAAGTGAGCCAAGAGGTAGTCACTTTCTCTCAATGTAGGTTTCTTCACAATTGTTCTCATTCAAATTGTTTATGCGCTTAATAGAAATATTTTAATAGAGTTGAAAAGTACAGTTAAAAGCAAAAGTCTTAAACAATGTTGTATTGAAAATTGTCCTATTGAGTGCGTGAACGAAGGCTGTCCAACGAAGCTAATGGAATGACATGTGGCTGGTAGACAGGGGTGCTTGTCCTCAACATTCCCCGGGTTCCAGTCTCGTCATTGCTTCTTTTTGGAAGCTTAGCCGCTTTTGTGGTGGTCTTTGTGTCAATTTTACGCTTTCTTTGCTGCTTTACTATAGCAAAGAACGGAAATTTACATGGGAGAGTTGCTGTCGGCTTGCAGCAGTCACCGCTTGACGTCCTCCCACAAAAGCGGATTAGAGAAAGCTCGAATTCCTGAAACTTGTTTCGTGCATGTCTAATCTTATCGTTAAGGAAAATCTAATAACGTATCCAGCTCATCCAGCGATAATAAATATCCTTATCAAATTGTATTTTGCTGGGGATTCCCACAAGCCTTCTCATAAATGAGTTCCTATTTTTCTTTTACAATTAACATATCATTGCGACGAAATTCATTTCACATCGCACTTTTGAGAATTATTAGCGACACCGTAAAAGGAAGTGGTCATTTTTTAAAAATCAAGGGTTTGTAAGATATCCCACCCTGCATGCACGTTAAGCACCGATATGTATTAGGGTAGTAAATCTAATTTTTGTTACCACAGACTCTATAGAACTGATGAAAGCTCACGTCTAATTTTATTGCTATGGGGATCGGAAGTCGTCTGTCACTCAGTATCCTCAGGTCCCTCTCCAACATCACCTCGGCCCGTTGTTCCCCATTTCTTTTCTTTCCCGTTTGCAGTTAACGACGAGTAATACCTACCCGAGTGCGACAAGGTTGCAACTGTGATTCATGGAAGATATTCAGGCATAACCAGTGGCAAAGTTCGCCAACATTATCTGCGTAAACAGTTGCTATCACAGCGCCTGTAACTTAAAATACATTGAAAACCAAACAGAACCTTATCCAGAACTCCTTCAAACAACATCTAGTCATAGCAACTGTCAAACTAGTATTTACTTATCCATTCATTTTTATTTCCATTTATTTATTTGTAAAGAATTGAGCGTTCGACGTTGATCGAATCTTGACGGGTGCGCCATGCATTTAAACTATCGGTTGGATGCATATTTGAATTATACAGTTACTTCTGAGAAACTACCAAAGCAAAAACTCTGCGTTTTTTATTCAAACGGGTGCTGGACCCAGCGTATAGTGGATTTGGTTAGACCGGTGTGCCCGATCGAACCAATGACCACCTGGATATTTCAAAGCACTTCTAGCTACTGCGTTGCACCACACTCCCGGTTTATAAGGGAGATTTTTTTTCCAAAATCAGTGGGGAGGAAAAACTTCAAAAGACTGACTTAACGAAATTTTTTCGCAGAGCATTAGGTTTTCAGACTTATTATTATATCATGGCGTTTTATGGGTAGTGCGATTCGTCAGAATCTGTTGTCGCCTACCCATAGTGCTAATTTTTGCAACCCAACTGCTCACCGTCTGTTGTACCGTGCATGTGGGAATCGAATAGCGTAAGTGTCTGCACTGTCCGTTCGAAAACGATCAAAACGCTTCTCTCAAAAGCGATAAGTAAGAAAAATAGTCGAGGATCTTGGCTCAGTAGCGGGCTAAATGAAACGGTAGTTAGGATTCGGTCGTCAAGGCTGTGGAACACTTTTTCAAGATGTTATTCGCCTGCCTACGACTATATTATTTATTTATATGTAGGCAAACAGTGAAATTTCTATATATTAAAAAATACCAAGAGAGAAAAGAGCGATGTCGAAACTTCCTTTTTGAGTGAGTAAAATGTTTTCTGCTTTTGGTTTCTCGCACTACAAGTAGCTTTCGCAGCAATGTACCGCAGCTCCTGTACATTCTCATACAATAAACCTTCAATATTTGTAATCTCGTACCTTTTGATTATTGCAGAAATATAAAATGGCAACTCTTTGTTGAGTGGTCCTGGTACTGTACAAAAATCCACTTCCTAAACAAAGTTTGCGCTTATAATTACGCCCAGAAAAAAAGCGAGGCAAAACTTTCTGAAATGACACCACGAAGGACTGTTCGTTCTCGAACAAGGTATATATATATATGTATATATATATATATATATGCATGCATATGTGTGGAGCGAGTAGCGTAGCACAGTGGTAATGGTTTCGTTCATTACGCAGGTGACGCAACACACCCACTCCTTGCTTTCTTAAAGGAGCAGAGTGAGCCACACGCAAAAAGTTCAAAGGTCTTCGCCGAAGGTGAATGCGATGAAATGAATCCAGTGTGATACATGTGATATCAGGTCACGTAGTAAATAGTAAACAAATTCAAATTTGCAAAGACCCGTGTGGCCCAAAGGGTGTCCCATAATGCATGGTTCTTGGCTCGAACCGGTCTAGAGCATAGCATCACATCCACCTCTTCAACGTAGGAGAATTGGCGCTGAAATAACAAAAAAAACTAACTTGATGTAAAGCTATACCGACTGTGGTAAGTGTATAAGTCAAATATGTATTGGTTCACCACTGTGAATCTTAATTACAAATGCATGGCGCTTCCATAGTGGATTCATCAACGCCGAATGCTTCATTCTTTTATCCTTTATTCGACATTGAAAAGGACTTCGGAATCAGAGTGCAAGCAGGAAGATACAAGGCGCTTCGTTCCTAGTATGTAAGACTTGACCAACCATTACTGCATTCTTGCATGCGCGAATAGCATCTGGTATCGTAAAATTTTGTACACCATTCGCTCGCTGCCTCACGGCTTCCTCGTGGATGCTATTTCCATCTAGGATTGCATTTACTAAACAGGAAATCACTCGGTGTGGACATGTCTGAAAAATCGTGCTTACAACTTTTGCTATGTCAGAAAAAGCAACAATTAAATCACTTTTCTTTGTTGAGAAACATGACTGGGAAATCATTTCAATTGATTACTATTTAAATTTTTTTGTATCTTTGTGATGTGGAGGATTCCACATCGATGAGTCGCCAATTTTTCTGTGAAAGTTGACGATAACTGTTTAAAATAGGGTGGAAGTTGTGCTGAAAATAACACCAAAGGCAATGATATTAAGATATTTGCAAAACCCGAACCGCAGGTGTATGCGATGGGGAACAAATGCGCTATTACCCTTTTCGGAGGATAACGCGTTCACCAGCACACCATGCGGGTCCTTCGTTTTCACCTGTCTCTCAGCTGGTTATATCCTCTCCATCCTATCTTCTATTGAAGGAATGTTGTACATAACTTGGTACATGCAACGCTTTGCTGAAGCTCTTTCAACCATTACCATAATGAGGCCCTTGCTCTGCGTTTGTCTTAGATATCTCTCTTAGCGAGAGCTCTAGGAAAGGGTAATCGTGGTTCGATCTGACGCAGAGTCAAAGTTTTGCGAATATCTCAGCATCATTGTGATTGTATCTAATATAATCCCCTGCGGTGCAAGCAATATTAGGTCGTAAATAAATAAGATTAACATTATGATTTCGACTAGAGCCCCAGCTTAAGTGGGTTAAATGTCGGCTGTTGCTCCCCAGATCAAACCCGTTGAGGGTTTATTGCTGATGGCACCGTTAGAATAAAAGACATACTGAGCGAAAGACAGAACAAGAGCCTTAGTGGTGCAATGGGTAGCACGTGAACCCTCGCAAAAGGTAACCATGGCTTTGAATTCCTTTTGGAGTCCGTGTTTTGCAAATATTGTTATCGTGGTTGTACCTCACTTCAGTTGTTAGTTCATGATGTGTTACCACTTTTTTTTCGTGCATCAATTCAGTAGCGCAGTTGCGGCTTGTTCAATCAACCATAACTTTTGCCTCGTTATATCAAATGTAATACAATCATTATGCGCTCCAAATTTGTCAGTTGTACCAACTTATTTTAACCTTATTTTGACACTAATTTTACTATCCATTTCACTTAGGCACATATACCCTTCGTTAAATATCATTCGTAGGTCCCTTTCTTTCCTAATCATACTACATATCGTTCACAGTCTGTTAATATCTTTTGTTGTATTGGTGTGACGTGTTATTTATCCTGGTTGATATTCTATCACTCCGCCTAATCCTCTTTCACTGCAAATGCAACTTCTTCCTGCTTAGACTATTCTTCTTAGTGACGATTTTTATACTCACGTTATTTTATATAACTTAGCCATTATCGCACTGTTATCATAATCTCCCACTTATCCTGCAATATGTTCACTTCCTATGTCCTATACTGTTGTATTCCATATCGCATTCGCACATAATGTCAGACCACTAGTCTTTTTTGGTAGAGCTGCTCTCTTGCCTCAACGGATAGCTCTCGCTCGTAACCTTACCTTCGCTTATTCATCCTTGTTGTCGCCCTATGCGTGTATTGTTCGGTAACCACTAATGTTCTATTGATTCTATTGATAACGAACGTTTAATTACCGGAGTTTTGGGTTGGATTCGGCACGAGGAGTAGAAGTTTTGCGTGGTAATCACGAAAAGCCGGGTATTCAACTCCACCAAACAGCTGAGACACCTAGCACTCTTACAGGCAACGTGTGAACAGCCGAGATAGTGTGTTGATGAGGACTAACGGGAGATTCTTCAGGTATTCAAGTCTTATCTCATGCCGATTAGGTGTCGTTCAATTCTTCATCGACGAAACAATAGGTCGGATTTCGGAAAGATAGACCAGTAGGACAACATATCCATCCTCCTTTATTTCATATTAGGGAAGCAGGGCGCCTGTGCGGCAGTGGTCGGAGGTGCCCTCGAATACATATGGGATCGATTCCCGCGCCTGTGGCCCGCCAAGCCTTCCATCCCTTTATGGTACTAGATTCGTCTGGAAGGATAGCAGCACTTGCTCGATACATCGGTGGGCCACTGCGAGTCATTGTTAAGGCCAGATATGCAACAATCACCTTCAAACGATGCTTAATGAAATTGAATCAATGACGCATCCCTCAAGAATTGATCAAAGCCGAAAGCTTTATACTTTATCTTTTAGGGAAGCAGGAGGTGATTATTGAAGAGATCCAAGTAATAATCATGAAATATATTTTTTATTGCCTTTCAGGAAGCTGTAACTATTCTGTCTCGGCATCGAAGTTCAGTTATCTTGGTCTTGAAATTGTTGGAACCTCGGTAGGCTTTGCAGATGTTTTCCTCATCTTCTGCAGCTTCGATCATAAGTGCTGTTGTTCTGTTCTTAAGATCCTTTTTTATCGAATGTCTGCATTGTTTTTGTAAGTTCAGACGTTAGTTCGCGGTGGCTTGTTGTCCGCGCCATTCTACTTCGGCGTATCATCAGTGGTGTTAATGGGAGCAGATTTCTCTAGTAGACTTTGCAACTCTCAGCTTTCGTATTGCAAACATAAAGATGCTGTATGAGCCAATCGTAATCCTCATCGATGTTGTCAGTAACGGTATCTTCCGGAAAGTTGGCTAGTGGTCTGAGTACCAGTTTGTGGTGATTTTGTGACTTCATGTTTTAAACCTGGCGAACTTCTTTCTTTTCCTTGTAAACTGGGAAAAAAATCTGAAACATGATCTGGTGCTGCGTAGAACCTTGACACAACAGCAACATCGGCTAGGCGAAATCTCCGATTTACTATGATGTAGTCTGTTCCGCTATTGCACTCTCCATTCGGAGACTCCCCACGCCGAGCGTTGAGAGTGGTGCTTCTGCAGCTGTAAATTGCCATGAATGTTCTTGGTCGTCAGACTAAACTCAGACAGTGTCCCAGCCTGCTCGTTCCATTCTTATCCATGAGTCTCATTGTGGCCTTCTACAGATCTTCTTCTGGGTTCAATCTCAGTGTTAAAGCCACCAATTATGACTTTAAAGAAGAGATCATTTTCTCAGACATCTCCAGGTCAATGGAGAACGCTTCGGAGTCTTCGTCATAGCTCGGTTTCGGTGAGTAGACGAGGCAGATTATCAAAGCCTGTATTGATTCATATTTTTTCAACCGCATACGTCCGATTCGGGCAGTTGTTTCTTTTTTCAAAAGAATTGATGCTCATGGCCAAGCTCGTTTTGACGAGAAAGCTGGCGCTGCTAAATAGTCTACTGTCTCATGTTCTGTGGAGCAGTTTTTCTTCTGTATCATAGACGGCGTTCAGTGGACGTTTTCTTCTCGTTTCGCTTGTTCGTCGTATCTTATCCTTTTTCTCTGCATGTTGATCAGTTGCTCTATGGAGGACCCAGAAGCGTGTGAACGTGCATTGTTCGTACAGATCACCACATTAGTCAGTGGATGGTGACGATTTAGTGATGTTGACCATGTGTATATGCTTCCTCGCTTATCATTACCCCACCAATCTCGATTAGGAGCTTTTCGCCAAAAAGGAATGACCTGCGTGAAGAGTGAATTCTTTTAGAAGATTTCCATGCTCTGCAATGTCATGCATTTCTTGCTGTCCGAGCCATGTGTTACTGAATCGACGACAGAGCTCTCTGATTGTTTCGAATAATAAATTTGAAATCAGAAGATAACTGATTGGAATCACGTGGTAGATCCAACATTTGTTTCGCAACTATTTACGCAGGCCCTTTTTAAACAGCTTTTTCTAGTTCATAAATTTTCTAGACTTAATTCATATTATAGCATTTTGCTATAAGAACTAGTAAACATCCAAAACTTATTACGGTGGCATTCCTTCCTCTTGTGTGACACTTGTTGTGGGCCATGAATTCTTCCTGTCCCGCTGCTGCTCTGTGAGATTGATTTGCGATAGAACGCTCTTTAACTGAAGCCTAAACGAGTATGCGAATGTGAATTTATATTATCGAGAAGACTCTCTACTAAATAGAGAATCCTTTCCATTTATTTAACCATGCTACAGTTGTACTTAGCCCAGCAGTAGCTGTAGAATTTTTCCATTTCATATGTATAATATAAATATTCATTGACCTCATTCTTTCGTTATGTGGCACAAGCATACGGTTGATTACCCAAGTTGGAGGTCTGGCGTGAAGGTCAGCGTTACCTGTACCTACGTTACCTATAGAATCGGCTGTGCAGTTGTAAGTAATAGTAAAATTGTACGGTGAGATATCAAGAAAATAATGCAGTTTGCTTGCTCTCATTAAACAACAAGTGAAAAGCTCGGCTCAATTTTCCATGGTAGTTTGCAAGCCAAAATAGAAAATAATTAGCTCAAATATAATCATACGGCGTTGTTTTAATTAAAATCAATCGCACGCTAATTATCATGTAGTATCTGTGGTTACTATTTCAAAGAGTGGCATAGAAAACCGCCGTTCGTTCGCCCAGGAACTAATTAAAAAAGCTAATGGCAATTTCTAGGACCGACTTTTTATTCGGAATGCGCGGTTGCTCACCCTCTGTAAGTGAAAGGAATGAAAAAAAGACGAGTATATAGAGAAGCTGTTTCTCATGCGATTACCACTTTGGTTCTGTGCTCCTTATGTCAGGATAATGAAGGTGTTTGGTTGAGGAATTACGTACCAATTCCAAGATTTGAGAAAAGCGAAATTCGCTGAAGCGTTAACCATTATCGAATAAACGTCCTGTTAATAATCTCGTCTCTGCTCATCAAGAAAAACTTAAAGTTACATCCCAAAAAGCTTGACCAAGCGTGATCAGTTATTCATTAGCCGTATGGACTTCTTCAGTTTTTCCTTGCCGAGTGCTGACCCCAGCTTCACGATCCACAATATGAAAGCCTACTCTGGATTAGCATATCTTAGCTAGTGAAGAAATTAGCACTGCAAATACAGCTTATTTTCGTCAACATTTGCTAAGCTGCACTATTCTTTGCCCTTACCTGTTTTCCAAAGATAGCTGTGGGCATCCTCGTGTCGGTACGGTGGATGACTTCGGCCATACGAACAGCAATCACGGTACAGGCATTCGAAGGTGCGCTTCTGCCTCCAATACGACTTTGCGACACCGTGCTGGGCATTCGCCACACCGTCACACCTTCCTGAAAGCACTAGTTTTCTCATTACCCACTATAAGCTAACAAACACTGGTATCCCACATTTTTTTAGCGATGGAAACAATTGTGAAATTAGTGCCAAATTCAGAGTATAATAAAGATGATTCAGAAATAACACTTTTAAAGGATGCGTTGAGAACCGTTGAAATAGGTCTTGGCGGGTTCTGAAGCGCAGGTATTAATTAATTACAGGCTTTAAGAAGCACTTTTTTAGAAAATTGGATTTGCAATATTTAGAGCTTAGTTACTCTTTTTCATGCGGGAAACTACGCTCGCCCACTGTTCTACTTAAGAAAGGTCTTTGAAACTTTTCATTTTCCCATAAAATCGCCCTTCTGCTTTAAGGCTCACAGTGAGCAAATACTGAATAAATTTGAATATTTAGAAATTTTACTGGCTGTTCTCGATCTTCGGAAATATGGGATGTGACGACGCATATCTTTACAATAATAAATAGTTCAAGAAAAAAGTTTTCTACCGTGGACAAAATTTTGTCATTTCCTGTTATTTACTTGATGAGGTAACAATGTCAAGGCGACAATATCTAGTTGCCTCCATAAAACAAAAGATTTATAAGTAACCAGTTTTTTTGTAATAAATACAGGCAAAAGAATGTGTTTTTTTTCTTGATTTTCGAAGAAGGCATAGCAAGGAGTAGTGTAGCCAGCCCTTATTTCATCAAACGTCATGCATTCTGTTCTGTTGGACCGTGAATAATCAGGGATGAAGAATCAGTTCAGAATTCATAACGAATAACTTTCTAAACCCTCCTGTAAGTAACGCAAATAATAGATGACGTGTATACGAATGCATGTGTTTATCGACAAGGTTTAAATTCAAATACCTAATCCTCTATATGTTCAGAGTTTCAAATGTTACGATTCAACTGGTGAAGGACGGAGCACCCACAAAGAGATAAGAGATCGTCGTGCACGCTTTGCGCTGCCCTAGGACTTTCGATGGAGAAATGTTGTATTCGTCGTAGACCTTTTAAAGTGATGTAAATCTGCGTGGAATGAAAGAAGTAACGAGAGCCTTGTCGGTGGCCGCTTCGTGACATCGCACCGGGAATGTCAGTAACCACGTCTTTAACATAGAGCGGTGTTACGGATGCTAAGAAAGAGAAGCAATTGCCTGTTCCTTTATAGAGTTTTGCTACAACTTTCAATTTTAAATTAGCGCTATAGTTTTTTAAGACGATTTGATCCGTGTTGGTATGTGACGTCCACTGACTTATGGTCCTGCAAGACTCGCAATGAGTGACGTTTGAATACCACTGTGGATTTCATCGACCGACTTCTTTATCTTGCTCTTGACACTTGACACTTGAATGGCCCGCCCTCACTGGTTGTGCGGGCCCCAGCATAATCTCCATTTTTCGAAGAATTGCTGGTTAAACCTGTGGTTTCCTGGAACCACGAGGACAGCCTGGCCAAACTCTGCCTCAGATCGTCACCACCATAGGCAGTCATCGTCCTTGTGGATCAGAGGGAGATTTGCCACCATACGACTTTGATACCAAGACGGTGGTGGATCTCGGTATTGGTTTACTCTTAGCTAGGCTTCCTGATGGAAACGCCGGACTCTTCAGCTCTTATCTTGCTCTATTTCTATAAATGTTTCTTTGTTTAAAGTCGCTATACATTTACATCTGGATCGTTATAAGTAGTTCAACAGTTTGTGAGATTAAGCAGCGAAGGGAACTTTCCCTTTTTAATTGATATTATAGAGAACATTTCTCGTCTTTAGCATTTCTTGTATAAATCATATAATCGTGTTCATTACTCTTTTCGTATATCCATTGTATTGTAAAACTTTTGACTACATGCATTTTGAATGTCACTGCATTGTTGTATAAATATTACGCGTCTAAATAATTTAATTACCCAAGTTTTAAGTGTAAATCAATCGGTTTTCCAGCTTGAGAGGATCCACCCGTCGTTTTTACCCCACGGATATCTTGTGTGCTCCATTATTTGCCGATAAGGTAATAAAGTCGGTCCGCGTTTTCACGTTGACTAATAAAAGTTCGCCGCTCTCTCCACTAATATCTTCTTTTCTTCTCCGTAAAATTTCAATGGAAAAATCTTTTATCGCAAGTTATCTCATATGGGCTCTAGAAAATCGTCCGTTTCTCTCAATAGTCGAAACAGCAATACGCCACACCTGCTTAGCGACACGAAAAGCAGTGCATTTGTAATACAAGACCATTTTTCAGACTTTTTATTGATTAGGTTCGCTAGTTTATCATAATAAGACGGCTGAACATACTACGCTATTCGAAAATTAATGCTGGGTTTCTGATTTGATTTTATTATACATGTCTTAGCAACCTTTTGAAAAAAATGAAAACAAAAAAGAAAATTGCGCGCCACAGGCTCACCAAAGCTACCATCCTTCCGGGGTGGGCAAATTGGCAGCAGACGACTTTTTTGGAAGGGTAGCAGGACTCACTCGATACATGGCTAGACCACTGCAACTCATTTTATAGTTCAGATATGCATTCTGTCACCTCATCAACCATGATTGATGTAGTTAAGTGCATGCCACATCCTGGGATTGTTCAACGCCAAAAACTTTATCCTTCTCTCCTTTTTGTCCTAGCGATAGCTTTTTTTTTTCAAATGCTGCGCTGTTATACAGCAATACAAACTATTTGGCATTGCATTTCTGTCCAGCGTAAATGGATTATTATATAATTTGTGCTTTTTATAAATTTTATAGGTTAGGGTTCGAGATATCAAAGTAGCAATTCCGGAACTTTTAAAGCATAATACAACATTAGTTTGGAATGTTTTGTACTGGCGAATTTGACGTTGAAAGTGAAGAAGTTTGCAAAGGTCTTTCTACTGCAGCAGACGATCCATTGAGGGGTTTGGTGTGAGTACGACTGATTCAAAAACAGCAGAACTCGGCGTAAGAATCTCAAGTGTTTATTGGCAGCTGAAGATAACTGAACCGCGAAGATGAAAGCAATCGACGTTTTGAAGACCTTCGTCACCTTTTAACTATTACTGTATAAGAACTGTTGAATGTAGCGCAATTGCTAGAGGAGCCCAGTAATACGCACGTGGTCTTTGGTTCGATCCCGCACCCGTGTCCAAGAAACTCTCCATTTCTCTGATGTGGCCAAATTGGCACTAAACTTGTCTTGAAGGATCGCAGCATTGGCCTGGTACATTGGCACGTCACAGCGAGTTAATGTGTGTGCATTCCATGGCCTCTACGATGTTTGGTGAATTCGAATTTGGTACATCGTTCAGGGATTGATCAGTGCCAAGGGATTCAACCTTTTCTTGCATAACTATGCACGGAATCCACAGTTTTCATAAAGGTAAAACCACATTTGATCCTATTGAAACATAGTGATCATCAGGACAGTAAAATCTTTGTTCCTAAACGAACTTCACCTTTTTTCGGAGCGCGATGTCAACTTGAAGCTGCTGTCACTCCGCAGTAGTTTTGAGTAAGAACAAGTCATATTCAGAGGCTGATGTTCTGAACACTATCTTGCCAGCTTCTTTCTGCATTTATCGTCGAGCAGACCGCTTCGGTGGCGGTATCGTCTACACTTGAGCCTCTCCACGTTGAGCACACGAATGTGTTTAAATCAAGATAATTGACCAGATGTAATACACCTCACGTCTCAACTTGTGTTAGAATTTGCATGATCTAGTGAATCGGCCAACAGATTTCCCTTTTGTGCAATTGTTTTCTTCTTTTCTATTTATTATCCATATTATATTTTTATTATTTATTATATTATTTTTTGTTTGATTTTTATATCGACATACTGATTGATCTTTTATAACTCGACTTTTATTCTAAGCATAATAATAGCTGCATAATACTGACTGCTTTTTGGCCGCGGAACGCCGTCAGCTATTATAATCTTTAGAGAGTTACGGGTAGTCTGTTAACTACCTCAGCTGATTTAAAACGGCGCAACCTTTATTTAGTTTCTTCCTTTCTCTGTAGTTAACAACTAAGAGATTTTTGCTAAATTTGAGCTGTTAAAAGTAATTTTAGACATTGTCGAAGTTTTTGCGCTTTCAACAATAAACCAGTAGTATATCTCAGCTCATGAAGGATAAAAAGGACAAGACTCTCGGCGTTGATTAATCCCTGACGGATGCGCCATCCATTCAAGTTCACTAAGCATCGTTTGGAGGTGATTGAATGCATATCTGGCCTTTACAATGACTAGCGATGGCCTACCGATGCATCGAGCCAGTGCTGCCATCTTTCCAGACAAGTCTAGTGCCAATTTACCTAGCGACCCCAGAAGGATGGAAGACTTGGCGAACCATGGACGCGTGCTCGGTTACACCTATGTGTTGCAGGGCGCTTCCCACCACTGCGCCACACGCGCCTCTATCTCAATTCATATTGAACTTTATCAAATCAAACGGAAATGCGTCGTTTTCCTTCTCAGCAATCGCGAGGTTGTTAAGCAGCGTACGTTAACTTCCATACAATAACACTCATACAGCACATTCGCAGCTGACGTTTCGGCACAATCGCCTTCTTCAGAGCCTGGAAGGGTACACTAATACGCAACTTACTAGGTCAAACGCTTCAACAACACGGACAGAAAGATGAGAATCTAAATGGTATTCACATGGTCAAAAGCCTCTCGAAAAACCCACCGTTTCTTTTACGTACCTTTCACTGAGGAAGAGCCGCCGATCAGCGTCGCATGTGGTTGACGACTGCACCTCCCCACATTAATGAACGATACGAAGCTACAAGACGAGATTACGTGTGGTCTCAAGGCATTGCTCCCTGCTGTTCATTTTAGGGTTTTTCGCATTTATCCAAAAGCCTCAGGAAACTTGCGAACTGGTGTTTGGCACCCTGTGCGAGGATGGTGACTTTCATATCAAAATCGTCTCCGCTATTCTTTTGTATCCTATGCGTGTCTAGTGGGGTGCTTCGTCTTAGTTTTCGTTTGCCATCTAGGT